TGTCCCCATCATATCTTATTCTTACATGACATGTAAGTAAACAGATTTCCATACATGTTACGTATTATTGGTCGAGAAAAAATTCTCTGATATTGAGAAATGTTTTATTTCGAGTCGAATTTCGATATCCATTATTTTCTTGTGACATCTTCAGAATATGATATACTTTTTTTCTTCTTATTACCCCTGACATTAATTCACGTTGTGAATCTGTAGAATGTTAATCTTAAGTTTAACCTCCAGAATCGACCCCGGTTTTTTGCGCCGGTACTGAAGAACACTGCCGATGCGCTGAACGCGACTGAAAAACTGCTCGTGGCGACAGACAAGGAAAGAGTAGCTTCGATGGACGTCTGCTCCGACGACACCGAAGCGTCGAGGCCCGTCTCGTTGGGTTGCGTGGGCGTGAACGGTCCTCACCGAAGTGCGTCGACACCGCCAGTCGCGTTGCAATCGCCGACGTCCTCCGCGACAGCCCACGTCCCCGTGCATCACGTTGGGCCTCAACCTTTTTTCTAGAAGGAGAAAAATTAGTGTTTAGTACCTGTGGATCAAAATATCGATGGTCCGTTTTCTAAAGGCAACTTTAACACTAATATAGGTTTGAAAATGTCAGTTAAATATTTTGAATTAGAAATGTATTGTTAATTTTGTTCTGTTGTGCCATAAATCTCTAATTCAAGAGATGTAAACTGACATTTTCAGGGCAACATCAAACTTTGAAACGGCAATACCTCAAAATTTAGAATATTGAGTGGTTGCCTTTTGGAACTTGGCCGTAGATATTATATTTCACAAAGGTATTTGTCTTCCGTTTTGAGAAAAAATGTCAGCTCCATGTCCTATCGTCCATAATCTTCAGGTGAAATATATTTTGCGAAACATGCACATCTACTGTAATCTCCATTTTCTCTTATCTCTATTTTACTCTGTCTAGATAAAAAGGAAAAGTTTACTAAAAGATTCTATTAATACTTCGATTGTAACTTGTATTGCTTGTGTATTCCTATGCGTATACATCGTTTAGGATTGAAAATAATTTCTGCAATGTAACCATATCGCAAAACAAAATATTTAAGATAAAAATAATTAGGTATATGTTTGTTGACCACTTCTTTTATTTAAGCTTCGACATTTCATGGCGTCTGTGCGAGAGGGAGAGGGAAAATAACTCAATTTCGGTAGGAATTGAATGATCAGAATTTAAAATTTTATCCATGGAGTTTGAGTTCAGTTGTTACATAGACAACCGTTGCTAGGTAGAGCCAGAGGAATGCAAAAATCAAGAATACTTTTATATTTCTCAGAAATGATTGTTTGCTTTGCTCGAAAAAATGTGAACAAAACAAGAAAAAATGATGACTTTCGAAACTTCTTTACATTGAATCATTTAGAAACAAAAATAAAATATTTAAATGGGGAAATATAGTATGTTTCACAGAAATGCCACCCTATAATGAAGAGATGTTTCACCTAATTTTATTCTTTATTTTGTACATTAAAAAGGCAAATTTAATGAGAAACAATGCCTTTCTCTAAAATTGCGTGATAACATTTATACGTTTATCCAGATAGAGTAACTGTTTAGAACTTGGCGCGACGGCAGGCAGAGTGGCCAGGAACAGCTTCAAAGCGACACGGCCACAACCCCGTGAATTCATCGGGATGTGGCATAAAAACTGTAGCTTTACGGCGTTCACCCATTCCCCCTCTCGTGGACCAACGACCCAACACCCGTCGGCCGCAATAAAAGCGTTACATCACATCTTTTCTTTAATCAATACATAAACAACGTCCAGCTGTTCTAATTTACAAACCCATTTCCGACCTATATATCCCCGCACCTGTTCAATGGGAGAAGCTTGGACCATCTCACTTATTTACATAATCTAGAATCGTGAATATAAAATGTGTCGATGCCCAGGATTCGTTACTACTTCATTATTAGACTATAACGGAAGGATCAGAAGAAATATTGTGTAATTGACATTGTGTATTAAATATGTTATTGCTCGGCATAATTTTGTAATTGTTTTCGCGTTTAGAGGTGCTGTACTCACATAAGGTATTTTTAAAGTTTCTTTATAAACTGTCATTTATTCTCGCTACATAAGATGGCTTAGGGTTGGACAAGGGCAGGTCCCTTAGACATGAGAAGGGATTAAAATATACGAGAATGAGACAAATAAAAAAATAGAATGCAACCATTGTCATTACTCCTATACTGCTATAAATTAATACTAGTCGTATGTATTAAAACTGTTCTTGATTTTCGAAGGATGCAGGACAAAATGAGAACGAAAGTAACATCATGAATAGGACACGTGGGGAGTAGTTCCATTTGAATTGCAAAGGTGGATGAAATGATTTTTCAGTAAAAACTCATTTTAGCATGAACTGTACTGAAATGGGAATGAAGTAATTAAGAATGTAATGAAATCGTAATGTTAAGAATTCTAAACAAACCAATTGAATGAAATGGTCAAAATTTCCTTTACTTCTCTGAGGACTTGAATATATACTGAATGTTTTCTAATTGGCTGTGGAATACTATTCATACTTACTGCTTCTATACATTGTTCTTTTGATAAGCCGGCGTTGTCGATAATCATAGCACACGCATGGGCCTTCGTTTTCCCGTAAAACATAAATCCAAGCCATTTTAATATTACAAAACAGTGAGTTCATCACGTACTTGCCTTAAAAGTGTAGATATATTTCGTTGAAATAAACGTTTTAAAAGCTAATAGCGATGCTTTGTTCTCATTTTAATTTTCTCGCATACTGCATACGTGGTATAGAGAAAGTATTGCAATTCTGCGGAAAAAACGACGATTTTTTGGGAGAAAACCTCTTAATTCTGGGCCCTGGTAACGAAAAAAGTCAATGAATTCATTTTTTGTGGGTCCTCGATAACGAAAAATCGATTGAGAGCAAACTGTCTGCCTGTGGCCTACGCTATCGCGTAATTTGTTCAGACGATTTTCTCCAAAACTGATATTCTCTGATCGTTCACAACAAGGCCCTAAGAGTTGCACAAAAATATTTTGAATTTTGGAGGTGCTTTATGTGGAGCATTAATATTTCCAAACGTTTTCCAAAATTGGCTCCCAAATTTTGGATTAAACTTTGTCTTCGGATAGCTTGAAGGACGCTGAAAAATGGTCATTTTCTTTGAATATTCTGATTCTTCGAAAATTGCAAAAGTTAAAAAATGTTTTGCATCTTTCTTCAATTACGATATTAGAAATAAAGATTTTTCTTAATAACGTCCATTCAAAGACAGATCCTAAAACGACCACGAACAATTTTTCGAACATTTAATTATTTTTCGCGTAATTTAGCTAAACGCAATTTTTAAAATTTTAAAACAAATTTTCTCAAAAATGACTCCAAATTTGTTCTTTAAATTTTCTTTTCGTGTGTTTAAAGGACAGTATAAAAACTAATGCTGACGGTATAAAAACTGCTTCCACTTTCGGTGAAATCTGTTTTGGAAAATTGCAAAAAAATAAACATTGAAAAAGCACATAATTGAAGATAGGGATATTTGTCTTTTGTTCTAAATGTGTTCTAAAAATTACATCCTTAAAAAAGCCGTGTATTTTTTAAAAAATTAATAGATAGTTTTCGCATAATACTGCTTGAAATTAATGCAAAAATTAAAAATCCCTTTTCTCAAAACGGATCCAAAATAACAAACAACAGTATAATGGTTTTGTCCCATTTTCGGCTGGTATTTCCCTAATTTGCAAAATATTTGACATTGCAAAAGTACAATGTTGATGATAGAGATTTTTAATAATGAAATATATTATTTGATTAACCCATATACAATGTCTTTTGAAATACACCATGTGATCTAAAGTATCTGGACACGTCCAAAATGGTGTAATGGTGTGGTCGTGTTTTTCATGGACGGGGCTTGCACTCCATGTTGTTTCGTGTGCTACTATCACGGCACAGGCCTACATTGATATTTTAAACTCCTTCTTGCTTCCCATTGTTGAAGAGCAATTCGGGGATGGCGATTGCATCTATCATCACGATCGAGCACCTGTTCATACTGCACGGCCTGTGGCGGAGTGGTTACTCGACAATAGCATCCCTGTAATGGACTGGCCTGCACAGAGACCTGACTTGAATCCAATCGAACACCTTTGGGATGTTTCGGAACGCCGACTTCGTGCCAGACCACACCGACCTACATTGGTACCTCTCCTTAGTGCAGCACCCCGAGAAGAATGGGCTGCCACTCTCCAAGAAACCTTCCAGCACCTTATTGAAAGTATGACACCCTAATTAATCTCAGCATCTAATCAAGACACCCTAATTAATTTCAGCATTACCTATGGAGGGCGCCACGAACGGACTAGTAAGTCATTTTCAGCCACATGTCCGGATACTTTTGATCACACAGTGTATGAGTAGTTTTGTAAAATTTTGCGATTTCGAATTTGTAGATTCGAATTTCTCGCACTTTTTTCGCTAGAATATTTTGAATGTTATCACGTAAACACGGATGGGAACGCCGGCAAGTTGACTTTCTCCGAAAAACTTCTGGATGCTGGGCGGTGTCTCTGGGTGTGTGGAACTGAACTTTGGATTGTCAAATTTGGTTTGATATATCACCTTTAAATGAATTAATCAAGTGATGGATGAGGTGTATTAATAGGGACAAAAATTGTGGTCTTATAATTTGACATAACCGTTACTGAAGCTAGAAAGTGCATTGCAGAAATATTCGTTGTCCTTAGTATGTGGTTAAAATGTTCCGCAAGAAAGCAACAGAAAGCGGATTTCCTCCTAAGAAATATTTACTTAGGAAGTTACGCTATGCTTATCACATCTGAATTTGCTAAAATCATACTGGCATAACTGATGGTGGGAGGCGCGTGACATACATTGGCTCGTCAAACACGAACACACTCACGTACGATGTTGTGCTTCTCCTCCTTCCGACTGCACTAAAATATTAATTTCGTTTCTCTTCTTTGCAGTGAAGTGTCTTCGTGTGGTCCAGATAGAGGATTTATTACTGGAAAAGGGAAGATAGCGTGTGTGTACAAGACAAGACAGCAACTGTAGTGAAAAGGTAAGCTAATGCTATTGAATAGCAAAAATATTTATTCTTGTGATTCTGAATTTTCATGGAAAATTTCTCGTTGTGTATTTGGAAAATTTGGAAGAGAGTAGTATTTTTTGGATAACCATGCCCTCTGAGCGGCAGCGAAAATATTTCAATGACTTCATATCTGTCTACCCTGTCTCCATTATCCAAATAATATCACATGTGCACACAGAATTCGGAAAATGAGACGTGAAATGCACAAGAAAAGTTTTATTTAAAATAAATAATTTGTATCAGCACAAAGAAATTATGGAACTGTTCCAGAATTCCATTGCACGGATACTGAATTGAAAATGAATCTAGCCTACGTGGGAAAATTATTAAAATTATTTCTCAGTTGGAAGGGAATATATATTTTTTAACGTGAAAATATGTTTTGTACCATTACTGTCCTCAACATTATTTTAAGAAAATTTAACATGATTATTCAGCTCAATGTTCGAGCGTGAATTTATTAACCTGCCTTCATTAACTTATTTCTAAGCGAGAACATACCATGTTTATATACCTAATCTTATGTGTTCAGATTAGCGCCATTGATGTAGGATTCTTTGACTTTCTCCGAATCGTAAATAGTTTTAATACAACCATTAAATTACTATTCAAAACAGTGAATTATATAAATTAATTTGATTAAACGATTAAAATTAAATCTAAAATGTTCATAAACCATTAAAGGAAAAGATATGATTCAAATCAGATTGTTTACCTAACTTCAGACCTAAGAAGAAATGTAAGAATATTAACAATAAAGTTATATGGTTATAAATAGCGTAGACTAATTTTTGTAGAAACATCTTTATTTTCTAGTGAATAAAGAAGGCATCAAACTATGTGGGAAATGCATCCGGAAGTGTCGCGGTTAAATATCTTTAACTTCTGAGCTCAATTTACACAAAGGAAACCTAATATTCAAAAGACCCATGTATTCAAAAGAAGCCTAAAATATTTAGAGTTAGCTCTCACTCGTAAAACTTATTTCAAATTAACACATAATTGAAATTTATTTTCTTTTTTTAATTATAATACCCTTTCAATGGATCTCTTCCCAGTTACACGGCCATCTGTAGATAAAATGCTCAAACAGTCACGTTTTGTTTGGGGGCAGTAAAGTTAGCGAAGTTAGATTTCCTCCCTTTTTTTATCTTTCTAATGCCCCTTGGTCACATCATTGACACGTAGTTATGGGGAAATATTTTAATTTATGTATTTCCTTTATGCAAGTAGTTCGCAGTATTAGTAATCAAGTAAGGAATACTTACCTCACTTTGAAAGATGAATCCTGAATTGTTTTTAATATTGTCTTGGTATGCAGCCAAGATATGTATTTGCAATAAAACAAAAAACTTACAGTATCATGAAAATGATATGTTGAGGCTATGCATGTCAGGCTATGCATTACTCGTATCGTGTTATTTTTTATTTTGCGTAATATTCTGTGAGTTGGAGTTTTTATCGTTAGTTCAGAATTTATTTATTTCAGGTTTGGCAGAATTTTCGAAACAACCCGCAGTAGCAAACCAACTTCCAATATTTCACTGAGCTGCGTTCTCAATATTCCTGAAACTTGAATTGTTTTCTTTAACGCATACACGAGTAATAATGAGTAAGTTTACCCATTTAATAACGTATGGTCATTTAATTTACTTCTGGGCATACATTGAGCAATCAGTGCTACGATCCGAGTTCGTGACATGTTTGTAGGATGTACGGCGTCGTATTTACGCGACTTATCTGGAAGTGGGTGTGCTAAAATCAACATTACAAGGCGTTGTACGACACCACTCAGCATACTGATGACTGAATGTCAAATATAGCGGCTTATTTCATACAAATCACGACCAGTAAAACCACGCACTTTTTCACTCGAGGCGTTTTCGTTGGTTTGTACGAAAAGGACACATTCTTCGTCTTCTGTTAGAGCCCATGTGTTTTCTGTAGCACTTCCCGCAATGACTGACACCACCTACGCGATGAGACATGTACAGAATGTTCAAATATGCGACTCCTTTTTGATATATGTAAACTAAAAAAACTAAGATTTTATGTAGGCCCTAAGACATTTGATTTGGGGTCTTTTTAATATCGAATGTCAGGATATTAGCTTGATATATTCGTTCATCATGTACAAAATATCGAATATTCATGTTACTTTATAAATGCGTATTTATGTTATTTAATTGCTAGATAAGAAAAAATGGAAGACTTACAGAGTAATAAAACAGCGCAGTAATGTTTTGCCAAGACGCTGGTTACTCGTGATTTAGTACTGTTCGAATGGCCGTATGAGGAAGTGAAATAGCGACAGGCGTTATTGTAGCTTATTGAATTAGCTACGTGCTATAATACCACATAAAACTAGGGGGACATGCTTACTAAATGTTTCTTTTTAATAACGAGTAATAATCAAAGACTAGCTGATGCTTCTATTATTATTTATCATTTTATAAACTACCATTTTATTGGAGTTCGCCACATGAAGAATAAATTTATTCAGTAACACTAATGATTTTTTAAATTTTTTTTATAAAACCAGTAATTTAATATCATAACATATCATGAATATTATTGAAACTTTTGTTGGTGTCATGTATCTATTCAATTTGCATTTATGTACTTATCCAGAATAATAATGAGAAGAAACAGTCTATAATTCGTGTTTATTCCTATAATCTCTTTTACTGTTTCTTCTCATTCAAGGCGACTAGAAAATTTCAATCTAATTGTCCAGTGACCATTGATTAGAGGCGTTTTTTAGTAGGGTTTTGTAACTACCTTACGTACTCCGCCAGTATCCCTCTAAACCGTCTAGCTGTGACAGGAAATTGCAAATAATTTACTATTTGAGAAGAATACAAGTTATTGACTTTTGCTCTTCGCAAAATTATATTATATATATAATATATATAATATATATAATATATATATATATATATATATATATATTATATTAATTATTATTACAATTTAGACACTTTAATTAACAAGTGATTTGAATTTTTTACTCACCAAAATTAATATGATTTTCCTAAAACATCCTTGCTTTATTTTCCAACACTATACTCCAACAAGATTCACAGTGTTTGTAGTGGGTTTGCCCATTGCGTTTTCCAACATCACGTTGGGCCGATTCCTGCAACAGTTTCTATGAAGCATTGCTTTTGACTTTTTAGGCGTCAGATAAGTGCTGCTTGCACTGAGGCGTTGCAGCTGCCGCCCAGTGACGCCTCCACGGCTGCCACGCGAACACCCGAAGCACCCCGTTTCTAACAAACCATTTCTTCTTCATCGATGGAACATGCTAATAATTTTTCTTCGCTATGATTAGGTTTTCGTTAACCCCGCAATCGCTTTCCAATCAACAGTAATTTTTATAAATGATCTTGTATATAGGCGGCCCACGCGTTCGTACGCGCCGCGCCGAGATAGAAGGAAAAAACGAGGAGGCGGTGGCGGCGGCGGCGGCGGCGGCGGCGGTGGCAGGGCGGCCGGCTGGAGGATACCCACACACTGCCGCGCCGCTCGAAGGAGAGTCAGGCAGATGAGGTCTTCGGATGCGCAACTACCGCCCCTCCTGGAGACGCCCGGAGTTCGTCACCCCGTCGCTGTATCAAGTTTCCGCCACAAGTACTTCAGCTTTTCCTTTATTCATCCATTTTTGTCAGGTGGCTAGATATGAATTTTGGGCAATATTTACGTTACACACTGTTTACTTTAATGCGTACGATGCTCAGAAGGTCGTTGGAGTTGTTTATATTGGCAATGGTGATGACGGCATTACTGTAGTTCACTGTATTGTTGTTATGTATTGACGTTATTGTGATAGTACTTGTTGGTGTTATTGCTGTGGTTGTTGGCGATGTTTTTTTTGCCGTCATAGTTGTTGTTGGCGATGGCGTCATTCTTGTTGACATTGTCCCCTTTGGTGTTTCTAGCGTTGTCGTTGTTGTAGATGTCGTTATTGTTAATTGTGTTGTCTTTGTTGTTGTTGGTAATGATGTTTTGTTGTTGTTGTTGTTGTCGTCGTCCTCTTTTTTGCTGTTGTCGGTGTTGACATTGGTGTTGTTGGCGTTTTGTTGACATGGTTAGTGGTAGTGAGTGTGTTGGTGATTTTACTATTTCCCAGACACTGAGAAAATATTCATTGGCTATCTACATAAACCACATGGACACTGTTACTTACAGAAAGAAAGAACTTATTTCTAGATAACAACATGGTTCAGAAATGTCGGTATAGTACTACTGGAATTATAAAAGGTTTTACAAGGTTTGGCAATTTTTTTCTGGCCTTTGGTCTCAATCATTGTGTCTCCTCACCTTAAAAGTATAAAACGTAATTGTTAGAAAATCTAATAATTTCTAAAAAAAAATATTTTCTGGTGGTTTAGCAAGATAATTCTCTGAATCCGCTTCCTGGTCACGCCATTACGTCTATCTACATTACCCTTGCAGTACGCTTAATTTTTCTTGGCACCCTGATTCCGAAAAGGGCTCCATCCATTTGAAGCGAGTCTTCCAAACATGGCCAATTTCTCAATCGTCCTGCTAAGTGTTCTTACACATTACTTTTTGAAAGTCATTTTGAAAATATTTTGTGACATTTCATCAGTACATCGTTTCTCAATTTCCATCAAAAAAGATACCCTCTTCTTTCCATCCACCGGATGAGATGGTACAGCCCATCATCTGATGTGGGAGCAGTGCTCCTGACCGGGATGTCCTAGGATCCGAGTTGCGACCGTGTCAAGATGTTCGACATTGCCCGGATAGCTAGTAGGAATTCATCCCATGTCTAGAGGAGATAACTAGCGTTCGGCTGCTCTGATCGGTAGGTTCCGTGCTTTCTTCGGTACATACCAGTGGAACGCCGGAGAAGTGCCAACCCTAATAAAGGAGCAACGGACCGTGCGCGATGTTCCCTTCCTC